GAGGCAGGGAGAGCAGCCAGGGCTCTATTGCAATTATCCAACTTAGAGATGATGGTAGCTCAGCCCAGGTCGGTAGTGGTAAAAATAGTGAGAAGTAGCTGGGTTCTAGATATAATTTGAGAGTAAATGGGGTTTCCTTACAGGTTGGATGGGGGGAGTGATGAAAAGATAGGAATTAAGAACAACTTCAAGATTTTTGGCCTAAGCAACCAGAAGGAAGGGGTTGCCATCAACTGAGAAGAAGGCTGAGTGTAGAGTAGATCTTGGGAGGAACATTAACTCCATTTTGGACATATTGAGTATGAAATATTTATTAATATGCAACTTGAGATGTTGAGAAGACAGTTGGATATCTGATTCAAGAGTTCTGGAGAGACGTCTAGTTTGAAGAAATAAATTTGGGAGTTATCAACATGGTATTTAAAGCTATGTGACTGGATGAAATTACGAAGGCAGAGAATGGAGATACAGAAAAAATAGCAAGAGTAAACCAATATTTGATAGGATTGGAGAAAATAGATTATTTCATGACATTATTTGGCAGCTTCCCCTTTGACAATATAATATGAAACAGCTATATAAATACAAGTGAGCCAATCATCTTCACGGAAAATATTCAAAATTCTGAACTTCACAACTTCATAGGCACGGAAGAAGTCATTTTAGGTCATCAACTGTATTTGCTACCCTTTGGGAAAAAGACAAAAACAAAAAACCGAACCCATCCAAACAGTTGGATGTGCTTTTCTTATGAATAACCTAATTCTCCAATATAATATCCATAGGTGGCATAGTTAGAGACAATACTAGGGAAGGTAAACAAGTCAATTTTAGGTATTTTCAGCATAAAAGTCCTTGTAAATGTGTCCCTAAGATTTTGTAAGTAATGTTAACTCTATTTCATTACATGAATGTGAACATTCTATTATTCCAAACTTAGTAACTCACTGATTATGGGAAAACTAAGTTTAAGGTTTTCTTCAACTTCTAAACTCCCTTGGTTGCATGAAACTTATTCTCCTATCCTTCTGCAGGGGAGGAAAAAGGATTTTCCCTCTTCCCTTCTAGATTCTTGGCTGAGACCTCCCCTGTAATAAAAAGACAGATTAACAGGAGAAAAATGAACATAAGCTTATCAAAACATATACCTCGAGTATACATGGGAGATACCCAGGAAAACTGAGTAACTCCCTGAAATGGCCTAAGCCATCACCTTAAATACTGTGTGCAGCTGAAGGCAAAAGAAGAGGCTGAGGGAGAGGGAAGATGAGTTATGGGAGGTTACCTGAAAAGCACAGTAAACGAGGGTGTCATGCAGATTTAAGTTGCTGCCTTCTCCATTGATGGGAGTTTCTAGGATTTGGTCATTCTCCTCTTCCTGGTACAGGGAGGGAGGCACCCTTACAAATGAAGATTTCCCTTATAAATGTAAATGTATTTTACAAAACAGTAACTTCTACTTGGTTTTCAGAGCTTCTCCTATGCTTGCTGTTTCTTTATTTTATTTTTAAAATTATTTTATTGAGGTCATATTGGCTTACAACATTGTCTAAATTTCAGGTGTACATTATTATATTTCAGCTTCTGTATAGATTGCATCATGTTCACCACCAACAGTCCAGTTTTTATCCATCACCATACATATGTGCCCCTTTACCCCTTTCACCCTCCCCCCACTCCCTTCTCCTTTGGTAACCACTAACCTGTTCTCTTTATCCATGGGTTTGTTTGTTTCTCTTCCACATATGAGTGAAATTGTATGGTATTTGTCTTTGTCTGACTCATTTTGCTTAACATAATACCCTCAAGGTCCATCCCTGTTGTCGCAAATGGCACAATTTTGTCTTTTTTAGGGCTGAATAGTATTCCATTGTGTGTGTGTGTGTGTGTGTGTGTGTGTGTACACCACGTCTTCTTTATCCATTTATCTGTTGGGTTGCTTCCACATCTTGGCTAATGTGAATAATTCTGTGATGAACATAGAGGTGCATATATGTTTTTGAATTATTGATTTTATGTTCTTTGAATAAATACCCAGTAGTAGAATAGCTGGATCATATGGTAGTTCTAATTTTAATTTTTTGAGAAATCTCCATACTGTTTTCCACAGGGGCTCCTCCAGTTTGCATTCCCACCAATAGCGTATGAGGGTTCCCTTCTCTCCACATCCTCTCCAACACTTGTTATTTCTTGTCTTGTTAATTATAGCCAATCTGATGGGTGTGAGGTGATATCTCATTGTAGTTTTGATTTACATTTCCCCAATAATTAGTGATGTTGAACAACTTTTCATGTGCCTATTGGCCATCTGTATATCTTCTTTGGAAAAATGTCTGTTCATATCCTCTGCCCATTTTTTGATAGGGTTGTTCATATTTTTGTTGTTGAGTTGTATGAGTTCTTTACATATTTCAGAAATTAACCCCTTGTCGGATATACGATTTGCAAATATTTTCTCCCAGTTGGTGGGTTGTCTTTTGTTTTGTTGATGATTTCCTTTGCCATACAGAAGGTTTTTAGTCTGATGTAGCCCCATTTGTTAATTTTTTCTTTTGTTTTCCTTGCCTGAGTAGACATGGTATTTGAAAAGATGCTGCTAAGACTGATGTCAAAGAGTGTACTGCCTATACTTTCTTCTGGGGTTTTATGGTTTCAGGTCTTACATTCAAGTCTCTAATCCATTTTGAGCTAATTTCTGTGTATGGTGTAAGATAATGATCTACTTTCATTCTTTGCATGTGGCTGTCCAGTTTTCCCAACACCATTTATTCAAGAGACTTTCCTTTCTCCATCATATGTTCTTGGCCCCTTTGTCAAAGATTAGCTGTCCATAGATGTGTGGTTTTATTTTTGGGCTTTCAATTCTGTTCCATTGATCTGTGTGTCTGTTTTTCTGCTAGTACCATGCTGTTTTGACTACTGTAGCTTTGTAGTATATTTTGAATTCAGGGAGTGTGATACCTCCAGCTTTGTTCTTTTTTCTCAGGATTGCTTTGGCTATTTGGGGTCTTTTGTTGTTCCAAATGAATTTCATATGGGAAAGTATTTGACATCCACTTATGATAAAAACTCTCAACAAAATGGGTATAGGAGGAAAATACCTTAACTTAATAAAGGCCATATATGACAAACCCACAGCCAACACCTCAATGGTCAAAAACTGAAATCTATTCCTCTGAGAACAGGAACAAGAGAAGGATGCCTACTCTTGTCACTCTTATTCAACATAGTACTGGAAGGTTTAGCCAGAGTAATTAGGCAAGAAAAAGAAATAAAAAGGATCCAGATAGGAAAGGAAGAATTAACCTATGTGCAGATGACTTGATTCTATATACAGAAATCCCTAAAGAATCCACCAAAAAACTATTAGAAATAATCAACGAATACAGTAAAGTTGCAGGGTACAAAATCAACATACAAAAATCAGTTGCATTTCTATACACTAACAATGAACTAGCAGAAAGAGAAATCAAGAATATAATCCCATTTACAATTGCAACAAAAAGAATAAAATACCTAGAAGTAAATTTAACCAAGGAAGTGAAAGACCTATACATTGAAAACTATAAGACATTATTGAAAGAAATCGAAGAAGACATAAAGAAATGGAAAGATATTCCATGCTCATGGATTAGAAGAATAAACATAGTTAAAATGTCCATACTACCTAAACCAATCTACAGATTCAATGCAATCCCAATCAGAATCCCAATGTTTGCTCTTTCTTAAAAATAATAAGCTCAAAATAATCCTTATGGCAGAGAGACATATTTTGCTGTGGCAAATCCTGCTCCCCTTCACTTCCATATATGATTTATTCTCCAAAATTTACAAACCTTACTTACACGATCAATACAGTTCTCCTTTATATACCTGTAAAATCCAAAGCCATTCCGTTCCAAATAGGACAGCCCTTTAAATAAAGTAATGATCAAATGCTAATCTTAGGCAGCAGAATATCTTACGAAGCTCATAGAACATGGCATGGTTATATATAGGGAATGCTCCCTTCCTCCCATATGACATGGGTTGAAAAATTTATTAGTGGATACATCTCTAGGTCTACAGTACAATGCTAAGTGATGCTCACCTGAAACAATGTTTTCCTAATAAATAATCAATTAGGCGTACAGTCTGGAGGTAACAGGAAAGCTATGTCTGTTATCCAAGAGCTACATAGCCAAACGGAGGGCTACTTCCTAAACAATAGAGAAGAGGAACACTTTGCTACAAGAAGGCCAAGAGGTCATAGCTGACTCAGAAATGTAAAAATCAGACTGAGAGTCTCTGGTAAATTCCACTCAAGACATGTAACACTAAGTAAATCCCTTAATCATATCTGAGCTTCGCTTTTTTCATTTGCTAAATGGGACTGCATCCACAAAACTTGCTCAGGAATGAATGTTGTAAGGACCCAATGAGATAACACAGTGAAAAGGTTTTCAAACTGTCAAGTTCTGTACACAGGTTAATTATGCAACAAACGTTAAAACGGCATTACCTGCATGATTACATGGGTGTAGTAATTTTGACCAATTTGTTTGCTTAGAAAGGTTAGACTTTTAGAAATTGAAAATAAGACTCAGAGATTAAGTTACATGCCAGGAGTCTAGGCAAATGATGAAATCACAGAAAAAGGTCATTTGTTGTTTTACTGTTTTTTGTTGCTGCAGGTCACAGTTGACCCTAAACGATTCTAGCTCCTTGAAAGGTTTTTACCTAGGAACCAACACTGTCCTAACCACCCGTGCCCCCCCCCACCATCGCCTTTACTCCCCTAAGGGGGACTACATTGCTGATGCTCAGAAACGCCTCCAATGCCTGGAGGGGAAGATGTTGTGACGTCCTTCCACGCCGGGTCGGGATACCTCTTCCCTCCCCCGTCCCGCCGTCGCGCCATCCCCGGTCCCCGCAGCGCATCCCGCGGTCCCCGCAGCGGCCCCGACCCAGGCTGCGGACGCCGGGCAGCAGCGCGTCACGGCGCAGGCTCCGCGGCCCGAGCAGGCGCGTCAGCCGAGCTCGGGGCGGCGCGGGCGGCGGGGACGCAGCTGCCCCCGCTCTGCGCCCGCTGCACCCCCAGCGGCCACCGCCGTCTGGGCCCCGAGCAGCTGCCTCCTCGCCTGGAGGCTGCGGGCGGGGGCGCCTCGGGGTAAGTCTCGGGGGCCCCACTTAGGAGGGAGGGGCAGGAGAGGACAGAGGGGTGGCGGTGGTGAGGGTCTGGGGACCGGGATAAATGCTTCTGCGGAAAGACCAGGTCAAGCCTGGGGTGGTGGAGGCGCGAGGAGCACTGCGGCGTGCAGGGGGAGGAGGCGAGCGCTGCCCCGCGCGGGGCGCCCGGCCGCCGGGTCGCCGATGCGGTGGCCTCCGCGGATACGCTCCGGTGGAGAGCTGCAGAGAGCGGGGGATAATTAGGGAATGCAAGATTGGCGGGGAGGGCTCCTTGCGTTGTTTCGTTTGGGAAGATCCTTCGGTTATTGCCGCTGTCCCTTTTGAAAGGTTGGAGGTGAACACAGAGAGCATAGGGTTGAATTTCTCTCTTGACCCTTCAAACCGTTAGGGCGGTCCTCCTGTTTTCTTGAGGAAGAGTGTGAAGGTGGGAGAAGTACCTGCTGCTGTGGGCAGAGGTGTCTGGAAGCAGATGCCACCGTAGGGTGGGGGAGGGGAGCATCCAATGCTGTAAGTTGACACAGGAGAGACTTCTGTTGCTGTTGGCCTGATAAGACCCCTCTGTTGTCTTCAGGATAAAGGATCGGGTAAGAAGCCCTTCTGGCTTGCCTTAAGGGCTGTAAAGGATAAATGTGAGAAAATAAGAATTTCTGGGAGAAAGGGAGATGAAAAATATGACATAGGAGAAGCAAAATTATAAGGGTGAGATGGGAATTAAGTTCATGATGAGGAATATGACAGGTCTCTTACTCTGCAGAAAGCAGTGAAGGAGAAACAATTTATGGTTTGGAAATGTAGGACGCAGAAGAGGTTTAAATATTCCAGTGTTAGTAGAGCTTAAAGTTTTTGTAGGTTTTTTTCTTTTTATTCATCAGATTGGCAAGAACATAATTCTCATTTGAGCATGGAATATGTTATTAAAATATGACTAAGAAGAATGTTTGGAAGAGTCTGACCATACTTGCTGTTTTACTTCATATAATGTTACCCAGAATTCCTGGAGTCAGAAATCATCTTTTTGATGATAAATGTTAGTATCATGTAAATAGGAAAGCCAAAAAGTTAACAAATCAGTATACACCTTTTTTGGGTAAAAGGTGGCTTGCAAATTTAGTGTGTATAAATAATAACAATGAATTCAGAGTGTGAAACTCTTTGATACTAAATTTTTTCTTTTATATCTGTCAATTCTTTAATATTTAGAATTGTCTTTTCCTTTAGAATACTTTTATTGTTTTTGAAGAAAATTCATGTAAAATTCAAACAACGTAGAAATTAAAAGGGAAAAAGTTAATTGCAGGATGCTAGCACAAGATAACCATTTTAACACTATGTTAAACATCCTTCCAGGTATTTTTCTAAACATGTATTGACATACTGTGCAATTCTATATCAGTTTATAATTTTATATAACTAGAGAATCAAAAATTTTTGCATACTTACCTTTTATACCTCATTGGGGTCTTATTTTCTATAAACTGTTATTTAAACTAACTTTTACTAAACCATCACAAAATTTATTGTGAAATATAACCATGTAAAGTTTGAACAATGAGAATTTGGTGGACAAATGCACTTGTCCATTGGGTAGTAATGGTCATACTCCTTCAAGTGTCATATAGTTATCACTTGCTTCATAAATGTAAACATTCTCTTGTTCTTTCTTGTAGATCGATCTCCTGAAATTTAACTTTTCAAGATGAAGTTTTTATTGGCGATTGCCTTTTTTATTTTAATTTCCTTGTGGGTTGAAGAAGTCTATTCTAAAGAGAAGTCTTCAAAGAAAGGGAAGGGGAAAAAGAAGCAGTATCTATGCCCATCGTACGTTCTTCATGTCTTATATTCTTATGTGGAGAAATGTCATTGCATTTTTTATCGGAGTAAGATGGTTTATTGAAACACATATCAGCCATCAGACTATGTATCCATTTGTTTCATAGGAAGAAAATGACAGGGTAAAGAGAGGTTTAGAAAGTGATAGCAGTTCCCGCTGTTAAAGGTCAAGTTTTATAAAGTTTTCTTCATGTCCTGGGCTTATATAATTTTTATATATCTTTTATAACAATAGGAAAAAAGTTACTATTGCTTTCTTACCCTAAATGTACAACTTTAATTCGATACTGAGATTCCGTATTTTGAGAAAATACCAGTTCAAAAAGTTGATTTTTAAAAATAGCTCCTAAAAATGAATATTCATTTTAAAAAAAACAGATAGCTGGGGCTGACTTGGTGGCGTGGTGGTTAAGTTGGCACGCGCTGCTTCTGTGGCCCAGGGTTCCAGTGCAGACCTACACACCGCTTGTCAAGCCATGCTGTGGTGGCATCCCCACAAAGTTTTGTGGTTTGGGCTGTTTTTTGTTTTTGTTTTTTTTAATAGGAAGGGTTAATATTACTGGTGAATAACAGCAAATAATATCCAATAGTTAGAGCAATTGAACAGTATGTAAATAACTTTTACAAAATATGGTGTGCTTTTAGGTAATAATGTAACATACACAGTGATCTGGGATAAAAATTAATTTTCTTTTATAGATCATTTTTAAATTAAGATTTCTTAAATGCCATATTGATCACAAGTAACATTATTCCAGCATCATCATTATTTAAATGTAGATTATTATAGTTTTATAGATGTTCTGTAAAAGACATTAAGATACATTTTGGGGAGAATATTTTGTAAAGAAAGGATATTAGAATTGGTATTTTGGAATGGATGTTTATATGAATATGTGAGACTAAACGTCTGGAGACAGAATCATGATCTGCATAAAGTCTAGCATGAAATAAAGCTCCCTATTAAGAAAAACCTCCTGGTTTTCAGCTTTAATAGTCCTGCTTATTCCAGTGCTATGCAGTCTGATGTCAGGGCCAGATTTCTGGGTGTGTGATAGGATGGCCCTAACTTATATTCATGTGTCTCTACTTGGCCATCTGCCCAATGGGGTATGAAGTGTCTGATGGGGGCAGGTTCCGGAATAGCCACCATCTGCAACTATCACTACTCTTCATTGTTAGAGTTTTTGTGCCACGACCAGGAGATTAGCTGTTTAGGGAACTGGACATTGTCAGGCCTTACCATCCCAAGTGAAAGGACACATTCTCCTGTTTTAGATGTTCTTTATATTAACCTTTTATTTGATGAATGTTGACATATTGATGCAAACTGTTGTATGTGTCTTGTAGTCATGGTGATTCTGTGTGTGGAGTCAAGCCAACTTCTATCAGTGGGGTTTCTCTATATGCAGAAGCTGATGGGGCTCTTGTCCTCTTCCCCTGCCCCCCATCAAATGTCGTGAATCAGAGTTCTGAAGATGGCAACAACAAGCCTTATTACTACATGTATCTTAGAAGAGTCTTTTAGAGGACATTCTATCTCTTTTCAGAATTATGCTATTAAATTGCCTTATGTATAAACTGACCGTATATACTTATGGTGTCTATAGTTATTTAAGACAAACTTTTAAAGTTCAATCTAATAGATTAAAAGTGAAACAATAAGGTTCTCTTTTGGTGAATGTGGAAATCTTCAAGTGGAAGGCCCAACACATGCCTGGTAAGCCCATATTACAGTATTTTCGATATGTTGAGTAATTAATTGAAATTTTACCTTTGAAATTTTCTACCATAGTTTAAAAATTTTTTATTTATTTTATTTTTTATAATTATGAGATGAGATAAAGCTTTATTAACAGTTGCCATGGTGATGCTGCCAAAAATCTGACTTATTAAAAAGTAGATGCACTTTGGAGAATTAGATTTGTGTATTTTTTTGTTTGAGCATTTTATTAAGAATTTTGATTTTATTATCACTGCATTATGAACTTCAGAAGACTAGAGTTTTCTCTATGATTAAATCTATTTTATTAAATTTCTTTGAACATCCAGAATCTCAGCTATATAATAATGTGCTATGAAAGAATATGCAAATTATTTGTATCTTAGAGGATAATCCAGTTAGCCCATCTTATGTAAGTTAAGTATCAAACATCTTGACTAAGAGGAATATTTGAGATTATAAAACTTGGAAGTTAGGTTCAGACTTCCATAATACTCCTCAATATGGTGAATATCTTGCCCAATGATATTTTGATTTATTTAAACTTTTTTTCTTTTGAGTAGAGTTGGGGAACCAATGGGGTTGTATGGACATATACAGTTAATGTGTTGAATAAGTGTAGCAAACATGAGTGAAAACATCCCATTTTACTGTTATAACAACATTTCACCCCCAAAGACTGTAAATAAGAGGAAAAATGTTATAAAATGTAGAAGAAATAAAGGACTTTGGGTCCTTAACTTTCTAGGGTATAATTTTGATGTTGAGCTTGAATTGTGTCATAAACTTTTCTTGGCTCTTTACTATTTTTTTTAACTCACATTGTTTTGAGATGCTTTAACATCCTAAATTTATGCTATTGTTGTTTTTGGATGTGTACGTGAAACATCAGGACCACGTTGACAAGCTACCTGATAAATTTCCCTTAAAAAATTTAATATATATTAAAATATAAGAAATAAACTTTAAATAAGAAAAAAATGTTTTAAATTAAGTCCTTGGACCCAGTTAGCTTTTTATTTTACAGCTTGAATTTTCCATTAACCTTAATCTATTGGTCTTTCCTCTGATTTTCTATACAATTGCTTGAGTGATTTTGTCCAAATCTATGGTTGTAACCACCATCTATTTACTGTTGATTTGTAAGTCTCTATGTCCATCCCAGACCTCTCTGAAGAATGCCATACCCATACATCCAGCATTTCTACCTGGCTGTCCCATTTTGACCACAAACTCAACTTAAAATGATAAAACCTGAGTTCAGAATCCTCCCCACTGCTCCTAATACACTGTTCCCTTTTGCAGCAAATGATACCACTACCTTCTTTGCCATCCAAACTAAAATCTGGGGTCACCTTAGACCTTCTCTTTCTACCTTAGCTCCCCAAATTGAGTAGTCTCTAAGACTTCTCAGTTCAGAGTCTTTACCATCTCTGTAATGTGTCCTTCGTTTTCATTCCCACGTGGACACTGCTTTAATTACTCCTCCTCACCCTTTATGGTGAAGTCTTTGTTATTCTCCCTGCTTCTTGTGTTCCTCCATCAACTCCTGTTCCGCGCTGACCCTAGAGTGTATTTTCTGAATCTGCAGTCTAGTCAACTCATTCCAATGCTTAGAGCACATTAACGGACTCCATTGCTTTCTGGATAAGGTTCTGATTCTTGGCTCTACACACAAAGTTTTTGCTGAACTGGTCTCTGACACCTCCAGCAGTATCTTTCCATCTCAGCCCCCACCCCTATGCAGCCCACACATGGGTGGAGTCTTAGATGCACTTGCTCTTTCACACCTCTGGAAGTGTTCTTGCCTTTACCTGAAATGTCAATGCTTTCTTCTTTCTTTAGTTAACTCTTGCCTCAATGGTCTTGTCCAAATGCATGGCTATAAATACCATTTATCGCTGTTGACTCCTAAGTCTCTATGTCTGGCTCAGACCTCTCTGAAGAGCACCACACCCATATATCCAACATTTTAATCTGCCTGTTCCTAATGACCTCAAACTCAACTCAAACTCACTCTGTTATTTCTTTTGGGAAACCTTTCCTAATCCTGACTGATGTAGATAGTCACACTCTGCCTCCATAGTTCCCTAAATGGTTATCATGTTTACAATACTGTATGGTATCATCAGTTGTAATTGTCTACTTTCCCCGGTAGATTGTAAGCTCCTTGAGAGCAGTGTCTCCATCACCAGAGATCAACACAGTGCCTGTCACAAAATATACATACAATAAAAATTCATTTAAAGAGTGAATAAAAACCTAAAGATCTTTGGCTCTTATAAGTCATTATGTCTGGATGTTGTTAAGGTACTTGAAAATAACTTATGAGATCCCTATGGACAATATTTAGAAATACGGTTTCAATATAGGAAGAACTAGATGAGTGAACAATTGGGTAATCAGTGGAACATCTTCAACCTAGATGATGTTTCCTGGTGAAGTTTTGGCCTTGTCACGTTCAACGTATCATCAATGACTAAAATAAGACTATACAGAGGAAACACTTATCCAAACTGAGGATAATGTGATATTGGGATGTATAGTGAATATGTGAGACAGAATTAGGATCCATTATGATGTTGAAGGGTTAAAGTGATGGGTTGAAATTAAAAAGATGGAAGTATAATTTGCACTTTGGTCCAGAAATCGCTTGTGCAAGTATAGGATGGGGAAAACATAGTTGGGTAGAGCACATTTGGAAAAAATATTAGATAATATAGTAATCATTATACCAATGAATATATGTAGTTACTTAACAGAGAAAGTACTGTTTCTATTTTCTAATTCTATGTTAAGTATATTACTTCACTTAATGGAATATTATTTAAAGCAAGATTTACAGAGATTTCTGCATTGTGCTAGTCAGTATTTTCAGGGGAGAGAAATAAGAATAGTTGAGGAATTAAAATCATATTGTATTAGGAATTACTGAAGAAATTGAGATTTTTGAAAGTTGTTTTCAAATGATTGAAAAACTGTGATGTAGATGAGAGAGTAGACTGCTGTTTGGCACCAATAGTTAAAACCAGGACTAATGAGTAGATGCTATGAAGAGAGAGAGTTTTGGCTCCAAATTAGGAAGAAATTTCTAATGGAGTTCTGCCTAGATACAATTGACTAGGAAGGGAGGGAGTGGAGTTCAGTGTAACTGGAGGTGCTCAGACATAAGGGATAATTATTTGGCAGGCATATTTTATAGAAAGTTTGGGCATTGGATAGGTTAGACCAGATGGTGATATTTAAGGTCATTTCAGTTTGTGAG